AGCAGGCTGCACAGCACCGCGTCCAGGCGGGGCTGGAATATCTCCAGAGAAGGAGACTCCACAGCCTCCCTGGGCAGCCTGGGCCAGGGCTCCGTCACCCTCAGAGGGAAGAAGTTCTTCCTCGGGTTCAGCTGGAGCTTCCTCTGCTTCAGTTTGTGCCCGTTGCCCCTTGTCCTGTCGCTGAGCACCACTGGACATGGTCACCCTGTCGTCCCCCAGCACTCCCAGTCCCTCTCCGCAGAGCTGCTCTCCAGCAGGTCACCCCAGCCTGTACTGGTGCCTGGGGTTGTTCCTCCCCAGGTACAGGACCCTGCTCTTGCCCTTCTTGAACCTCATCAGGTTCCTCTCTGCCCAGCTCTCCAGCCTGTCCAGGTCTCGCTGGATGGCAGCTCAGCCTTCTGGCTGTCTTGTCTAGAGGGAGCTTAGCTGTGGGTCCCTGGGGAGCGGTTGTGGCCGACGTGTCCCCCGTTGGGGCGCTGGCTTTTGTGCGGGTGAGCAGGAGAGATGCCGTACGTGGCGACGCTTGCTGTGGCTTTCGCTGGCCGGCGCCGTTTCCTAGCCGTGCGTCCCGGGATTCAGCACCTAAACCTCTCCCTGCTTTAGTCTCCGCTGAGCTGGTAACGCGCTGGGCTCTCTAGGGAGGAAGCTTCCAGGCTGCGGGTTAATACTAAACTCTGGTCTGTGACCGTCTTGCTTCTGTGCTCTTTCTTGCCTTGCGATAACCCTGGACTGGCAGGCTCAGAAGAGGAGGTACAGCCCGGGAAACCAGGTACTTGCTCTTGCTGACCTACCCGTTCCCAAGCTGTCGGGTTTCACCTCGGCTCGTGGTCGAGGAGTTCCCTCCTCCGAGCTCCAGAAACCCCTGTGTGAGCCCGGAAACCCCTGTGTGAGCTGGGAGACTGCATGGAAACCGGCTGTCCTCCATCCTGGATGTCTGGGCGCTGAGGCTGAGCCTGAGGAAGGCTGGGGGATGAAGCGGGATCGTGCTGTTGTCTTGTTGAGTTGGATTCTTGGGGGGGATGGAGCAGCTTGGGGTCCGTAGGGCTGTTGTGGCTCCTGACCCTGGAGATGTGCCGGGATTCACGGGCAGCCGGTAGAGCGGAGCCGTGGCAGCGGGGCGAGAGCAGAACCTCACCCCCAGCCTTGCCCCCCCCTTCGCAGCGCGTCTTCCCCTACATCTCGGCCATGGTGAACAACGGCTCCCTCCCCTACGACCACC